TGTGTGCGCGCCTGTATATGTATGTTGTGATCACAATTGGATCTGTACTTTTCCAATGTTGTGAGATGGCGTTCGGGAAGCCTATCTTCACTAGTTTTACCCTTCAGCTCAAGAACAAGGTTGACACCAAATTTCTCAGCACTCAGAAGCTTTCCGTTTTCCTGTGTATTATATTTGTGTGTGTGTGTGTGTGTGTGTGTGTGTGTGTGTGTGTGTGTGTGTGTGTGTGTGTGTGTGTGTGTGTGTGTGTGTGTGTGTGTGTCAGACGCAGCAGCTTGGGAAGTGTACACACACACACACACACACACACACACACACATACACACACACAGAGGTGGAAACTGAGCACCCAAATGAGCCACAGGGACGTTAGAAAGAACTTTTTCAGTGTCAGAGCAGTTAACAGATGGAATGCATTAGGAAGTGATGTGGTGGAGGCTGACTCCATACACCGCTTCAAATGTAGATATGATAGCGCCCAGTAGGCTCAGGAACCTGTACACCTGTTGATTGACAGTTGAGAGGCGGGACCAAAGAGCCAAAGCTCAACCCCCGCAAGCACAATTAGATGAGTACACACACACACACACACACACATATATAGTGCACAGGAAAACGGAAAATTTATGAATGCTGAAATAATATAGGTGATAATAATCTTGTGTAAGTAGGTGTTGCTGTTTTTTGGAATACATATATATATGTAACTAGGCCTAAATTCCGCGATAACAGGAAGTAAACCCGACATCATACCTCTGAGCGATCGATATAGTCATTCCCCCAACATGTTATCTTAATCTCTCATCCCTCGCTTGGGGTTATCTTGGCCCCTATGAACCACCTCGTTACTTCCACTATCATTCACCACTCCATCTCGTTACTTGGTGGTGGTATTACTGCCTCATGCGCCACGCTGTCCGCGTTATCAGATTAAAGGATTGACAAGTGTAATGTCTAAGAATACTGCGTAAACCAGAGGTGCGTCGTTAGTGTGTAAACTAGAGGGAGGTGCGTCGTTAGTGTGTAAACTAGAGGGAGGTGCGTCGTTAGTGTGTAAACTAGAGGGAGGTGCGTCGTTAGTGTGTAAACTAGAGGGAGGTGCTTCGTTAGTATGTAAACTAGAGGGAGGTGTGCCGTTAGTGTGTAAACTAGAGTAGAGGGAGGTGCGTCGTTAGTGTGCAAACCAAAGTAAATATAGAGGGATGTACAGAGTGCATAAACAAGAGCAGAGGAAGAGAATAACCAGAGTAGAGGTAGATAATGATGCGTAAACCAAAGTAGAGGAAGATGAAGGTCCGTAGTCATTGCATAAACCAGAGTAGAGGTAGATTGAGGTGCATAAGATACCTATACATGTAATTATTCAGTGCTTAAACCAATACACTAACAGCAAGGCCCTATTAAGGATCATTATAGTCTCTATACATAACTAGATCATCACCTGACAAACAACGTCAAAATAATTGACAAATACAGCGACAACAGAAGACTGAACATTATGTATCTGAACATAAATAATGTATTGTACTGTACTGAACATAATGCCTAGGCATTATGTACCAAGCACACCTAGCCAACTATCAACAGCCAACTAACACCAAGTTACATACTGCCATCTCGAGAACACAACGAAACATACAATATACTGCGCCAGCCATCATGGAAACATGAAAATTGGCAAACTGCAATGAGCCTGTTGGCCTATATGTGAGGTGCTTCACCTTCACCTCGGCTATATATTTGGCAGCACAATATACCATATATCTAGACACGCATTCAGCACCGCTCCTGTGCCAGGTAAGTCTACTACGGGCTCACCATAGCCCGTGCTACTTGGAACTTGTTCCGAGTAGCTGAATCTATAACAACAACAACATACCATATATCACGGGAGACATCTCCCGTCACGCAGGGTGCAGTCGCATCTTCACAGATCTCCAGTATCATCTATTGATACTGGTAATGGCTCAAAAGAGCCACCACTTACGGGCTATTCATGCCCGTGCCACCTCTTGGGTGGCTTAATCTTCATCCATCAACTTGTAAACATTCGAACTCTGTCCTTGATAATGTTGACAAGGTTCATCGAAACGCATCTCTTAGCGTTAGCCCTTAATAAAATGGTCAAATGAACTTTGGAGAGTTTATTTTTCAGCTTCCTCCAGAAGTAAAGAAAACCAGAAAGAGAGAGAAGATTCGTACTAGAATAAGAGATCTCACCCTCTCTGCCATATGTGTTGTGTGTGCTTTTCTCCGAGGCTATGGGTCCTCCTCCTTCCAGCCAGAGGTGAAACCCTCTGGTTTCAATAATACATATATATTCAATATATATATATATATATATATATATATATATATATATATATATATATATATATATATATATATATATATATATATTGATATTCAATAATATACATCTACAAGACCTTGTCCAGCTAGTTTATTGCCCCTCAGTATCTTACATGTTGTGATCATATCCCTTCTGTTGAGATTTAATTCTCATAATCTATCTTAACCCTTAACCCTCTTAGCTCTTGCACCAATCATGTGGCAAACTTCTGTACCTTCTTCACGCTCCAGGTCATAGACCCACTGAACTCAGGCGCGCACCAGTGACAAGATGGAAAGTCATTCCGCACACAAACACTGCTCCTCGCTGGTGGACACACCACCCCCGTCCTTGAAGAAAACAGAGGTGATATGATCTCAACATACAAAATACTAAATGGAATAGAAGAGGTGGTCAAGTACAGCCTCTTTAACTTGGGGAAAAAAGACGAGGGGAAGGAAATACTTGTATTCTGGGCGGATGGTCAGCTTGTGTAATCCACTCAAACGAAGAAGCAATAGAAGCCACCTCCTTCCGCACATTTAAAGCCAGATTTGATAGAGTTCAATCGCCAGGAAAGTTAAATTATAACATAACAGCAGAAATCACAATTGCGTGATGCATCAAATGACAAATGAGCTACCATGTCGTAGCTCAGACGATTAAGGCAGATGCTCTCGGACGCAGGTTCGAATCCTCGTCACGGCTCTTGTGGATTTGTTCACGTACAACAGGTGAGGCATAAAGAATTACACCTCACTTCCTCGTAGTCACTGATAGATAATCACCACATCACTAGCACCGAGCCGTCATCACAACCACCATCCACAATTACCACCACCCACAACCAGCAGCACCCAATCATAACCTCTCGCACCCAACCAGTATCACCACTGTACGTAAAATATACACTCTGTCTTGCGTCAAGTCACCTGTGAAAGTCACAGACGGGGGGTGAAAGGTCCTTGGAGGCTTTTTACACGCTGGACTCACCGGCTTCTTAAGAGTGAGTGAGTTTATATATTCAACAACTTTCTCTCTGCAACCGTTCACCTGTAGGAAACGCGTGCGATTGCTGGATTGTTTCAATAGCAGGTTAGAAAAATATACGAATGATCTTGAGTAGATATAAATAGGCGCTGCCTCGTATGGGCCAGTAAGAGCTGCCTCATATGGGCCAGTAAGAGTTGCCTCGCATGGGCCAGTAAGAGCCGCCTCGTATGGGCCAGTAAGAGCTGCCTCGTATGGGCCAGTAAGAGCTGCCTCGTATGGGCCAGTAAGAGGTGCATCGTGTGGACCAGTAAGAGGTGCCTCGTATGGGCCAGTAAGAGCTGCCTCGTATGGGCCAGTAAGAGCTGCCTCGTATGGGCCAGTAAGAGCTGCCTCGTATGGGCCAGTAAGAGCTGCCTCGTATGGGCCAGTAAGAGCTGCCTCGTATGGGCCAGTAAGAGGTGCATCGTGTGGACCAGTAAGAGGTGCCTCGTATGGACCAGTAAGAGCTGCCTCGTATGGGTCAGTAAGAACTGCCTCGTATGGGCCAGTAAGAGCTGCCTCGTATGGGCCAGTAAGAGGTGCATCGTGTGGACCAGTAAGAGCTGCCTCGTATGGACCAGTAAGAGCTGCCTCGTATGGACAAGTAAGAGCTGCCTCGTATGGACAAGTAAGAGCTGCCTCGTATGGGCCAATAGGAGCTGTCTCGCATGAACCAATGGGAGCTGCCTCGTATGAACCAATAGGAGCTGTCTCGCATGAACCAATAGGAGCTGTCTCGCATGAACCAATAGGAGCTGTCTCGCATGAACCAATAGGAGCTGCCTATCTCCTCATCATAGACAAGCTAGGCTCAGCTTTTTCCCATCGCACTTGTCACTGGTGCGCGCCTGAGGTCAGTGGGTCTATGACCTGGAGCGTGCGATGTTCAATATGCTTCAGTGCGATGTTCAATATCTTTAATCACTACACGTAAGGTCACGCTCCAGGTCATAGACCCACTGACCTCAGGCGCGCACCAGTGACAAGATGGAAAGTCATTCCGCACACAAACAGTGTTCCTCGCTGGTGGACACACCACCCCCGTCCTTGAAGAAAACAGGATTCCTGGTTGAATTTCTAACTATGAATGATAAATACATTTCAGTTGCAGCAGCCAAGTTTCAAAAGATTTACCCGCATGACATCGAGCCTGAACTTGTGACAGAAATTGATCACTTCTGGAACTTTGTTGGGCAATGTGATGAGTTCAGACACGAGCATGAAACAGAAATGAAATGGTTTGTTCCCATTTCCCGTCATAATATTTTTCATGTTGTCAACAAAATCTTTCATATTGTCAACAATATCTTTCATGATGTCAACAGTATAGTCAATATGAAACACGTTTGATCTGTATACCCTTGTAGTAAAGAATGGATTAACTTCATTCCCTTATGTTAAAATTAGCCTAGTCTCCCGAGCGTTCCAACCGTCTCTAAACTGCTGTACATGTACACTCTCTTCCTCTCACACATCCGCAGGGCGCCAACTCCCAAATACCTATTTATTGCTAAGTGAACAAAGGAATCAGGTAAAGAAAACTGCCGGAGTCCGTGGACTGTGAATCCCGAACACTATGTATGTGCGTGTAAAACTGAATGTATATAACATATCAACCTTATAATACCTTGCCTACCTTTGGGTCCGTTGAGGACCTCCGGGGTAGAGACCTCAGAGGCAGCCACAACCTTCGGTTCTTCCGTGTTGGGCGCCATAACACCTCGGCCTCACGACGTCTACGCTGTGTTTCTCTCAATACCGATGCTACCTTGTTTAGACAAGCACGAATTCCAATAACCCCATATGAAGCTTATGGCAAATATTGGTCTAAATGCACATGCAGCAGTGCATTATGGGCAAGTCCCTGGCAGTGATCAGCACGGGGTGCCAGCTGGTTGTCATGTGAGCTACTGTGGCCCTTCCGCATCTACTTATAAGCTTAGTGAACTATCTGCCTTCCCCCTCCCACCTCCCCAATCATACCCAGCCTCCATCGGTAAAAATTCAGACTTGTTGCTCACTCGACTTGACTCCTGAGCCAATAAGGAAATGTCTTTGCTGATAAGTGACGATATACTCCACGAACTCAACACTAACCGCTCGTTGTATATACAAAGGTCGTATATCCTTGAGCCAATCTGTTCCACGAAAATTATTACACTTATTTAGCAACGGTTTGCCTAAACGTTCAAAAATGTATTGTTAACCTTAAATGCAGTGATTAATCTGTCTTTTCTAATCATTTTATAATTTAAATTGTCTACCAAGGTTAACTTTGATCTGATTACGACGCTTATGGCAAAAAAGAGGGTTACATATAGCGTTTACAGAGTGTTTTGTCCACGTTTCCAATAGCTATTAGGCCAGTTTGACATGCTTCAGTCGTTATTCTGGTAACGAGTGCCCATGGCGTTAGACTGCAGACAATGCCAGAACGCTATGAATCCCGAACGCTATGTATGTGCATGTAAAACGGAATCTATATAACATATCAACCTTATAATACCTTGCCTACCTTTGGGTCCGTTGAGGACCTCCGGGGCAGAGACTCTCTCAAGTCTTTAAGATGCAGGAAGTTGCCTATCTTAATTATGTAGCCATTGAGCAAAATATCCAAGAGTACCGAAATTTCAAGATTGAATCAACTGTTACTCTTGGATGGTGTGACCACTGGGTACTGTGGTTATAGATAGGAGCTGCCTCGTATGGGCCAATAGGCCTTCTGCAGTTACCTTTGTTCTTATGTACTGCTTTTGTTTTGGTTTTTGAATGAGCGAGTTTTTCTCACTCTTAGACCTATACTCATAACTTTGCAGTTATCTAGGTAGAAATCCACTAGCCATTTTTCAGACCACTTCTGCAGTACATCTTCGTTCATTCTGCGAAACATCACAGTTACCTGAAAGGTTTTTCCTCATTTTTGCATCATCAGCAAACATTATGAAGGAGGCTGTCACTTACGTTATGTGAGTGACTAGAAGCAGGATGGGTCCCAGCCCCGACCCCTGCGGCACTCATTACTTCACTCTAATACCCCCTTTCTCTCACTGGTAAATTAGAAGTGGCATTTGTAGCCTTGGGCCAGATTCACCGAACCAGTTACGCAAGTACTTACGAACGTGCACATCTTTCCTCAATCTTTGACGGCTTTGGTTACATTTATTAAACAGTTTACAAGCATGATAACTTCACAATCAACTGTTGTTATTGTTATAAACAGCCTCCTTGTGCTTCGGAGCTCATTAACTGTTTAATAATTGTAAACACAGCCGGCAAAGATTGAGAAAAGATGTACAGGTTCGTAAGTGCTTGCGTAACTGCTTCGTGAATTGGCCCCTTGTTGCTGGCCTGAGAGGGGAAGCCTTCCCTCCTCACTCGCCTATTGGGCCTACGTGTGTATCAGGTGCCCGAAAACAGCTCTTGCGCCATACAAGTGATTGTATGGACTGCCTTTTCTTCGATCGGAGATGCTAGTGACCATGAAACAATGCAGCCTCTAGTCAGTGTAGATACTTTGAGTCATACCTTAACTCTTCCATTTCTACATTAGTTGATGTGTAGTAGTGCTTTGACGATTGAAGGTGGTTAGAAACTTTAACTTTCTAGAAGGCTAGAAACTTAGAAACTTTCCTTGCCCGAAACGCTATGCGTATTAGTGGCTTTAGGTATTGTATGTACTAGCTCTATATATAAATCCAACATTATGTTTCTAAGTCATCAGTCTATGTATGTACTTTTACCTGAATAAAAATTTTAATGACAAAACTGTGTTGATAAACAAAGGAGCCGTTGTAGTTGGCACTGGTGTGACACCAGTTATAGCTCTTTTTTTTTTTTTATTATTATTATTTTCTACCACAGACGTGGCCACACATTTACAATGCTAACCAGCATATATACATTTTCTTCTGTCCTCCATGGACAGGGTTAGAGAAATGTTAAACATAGAGTTCAAGGGTTTATTGAACACTCAACCACAGAAGGTGATTCGGTGCTTTTAAAATGCTAAGCTAACCTACATACGTAAATACATAGATACACAGATTTACGTCTGCCCTACATAAAGTGTTTGATGTGTCTTTTACATAGTCTGTTAGGCCTAGCACCTCGCCCGGCCAGGGAATGAGGATATGGTGCCAGAAACGCCTTCATGATCAACATACTTATTGCACACCTCTTCCACGATCTCTCAAGAACAACGGTGTGTTGCCTATGTATGTCAAGTTTGGTTGTGAGTGTTGTGCAGACTCCAGATATTTATGCACGTGCCACCAACTTCAAATTTAGCGCGCCTGCTAAGTACGTTGACCTTGAAAATAGTGGAGCCTCATGCAGGCTGGCCGATTTATTTTTGCTGATCATGTTTGATGATTGGCGGCCCCTTCCACCCTGTGAATAGGCCATCTACTGATGTGCTGCTTTGTGGTTCACTGTGGAGCGAGTGTACCAAAATACTTTGCATATAGGTGTTGTGCCTTTAACGTCAACTGCCATGACGTTTCAACGGAGCGATCTCGAGAACAGAGCAATCTCGAATGGAACTCACGACCCCCCTAAGGATCTTAAGCCCCACACTATTTAACATACTTATGAACGCCATTGCAAATATTGAGTTTCCGAAAGGAACATAACACGTGAGATATGCAGATGATATCCTAATACAAGCTTCCACCTTGGGAAAAATAAAACAGTCCACTGAACTCCTTGGAAAAAAATGTGTTGAACTCTGTTTCACTCTCTTCACAAACAAGACAAAAGCAAACTATCATCACAAGCGGGGAGAAAAGGAAGAACTACAAATTAATGGTGTAACACTTGAATGGGTTGACCACTATCGGTACCTTGGCGTCACTGTCGGCTCTAACAAGGGGAAGAAAGAGGAGCTCAACCATCTCATAGGAACATGCTAAGTCGACTCAGGGCACAGAAAGCTATGACCTGGAATGGGCATGGAGCCTCTATTACCGTGCTTAAAATGATGTACACAGCCTATGTGCGCTCCGTCATAGACTATGCCGCACCAGTTCTGTGCACTTATTCCCAAAGCGATGTGAAAAAACTTGAAAGCATACAAAATGAAACCTTGACAATCATTCTTGGAATCCAAAGAACTGCCAAAACGTCTAATCTACGAGAGGAGTTGTCCCTCTCCAGTGATAAAAGCCGAATTCAGGAACTGAATTTGAAGCTTGTAATTAAGATAGCCAGAGTTCCCCATTACAATGATATTGCCAAGAAAAAACTGAACTCTGTGCTACTTTCAAGGGGAAACAGGAGAAGCAGAAAATGGCATCACAGATCAGTCTGCTACCTCGAAGAGCTTCACCTGCTTGAGCAAGCCCGTGAGCTCCTGCCTGTAGAGAGGTTACCTCCCTGGGAGGATGACTCATGCAGGATTATCATCAATGAAATGGCAACGAAAAAGTCCAACATGATAGCTCAAGAAATGAGGCACAATTATCTGGAGGAAATCTATAAAGAAGCCAGAAATGAGTTAGATCAAATCTACACTGATGGGTCATATAACCCTGTCAATGGCAGGGCTGGTGCAGCATACACTGTAATTAGGAATAATGCTTTACAACGCAGAAATGAAAGTAAAGCCAGTATTGAGAACTATGCCTCTTCAACACAAGCGGAGCTAACTGCCATTGTTATGGCGTTAAGATTCCTTGAACAAAGCACTAACGGTGCAGTGATCTGCACTGACTCTAAAGCAGCTCTACAAAGCCTTAAAAGGCAAAAAAACTTACGATAGTCGCTGAGATCAAGAGAGCGGTGAGAGTACTAACTAATCAAGGAAGAATCGTCAAATTTCTGTGGATCCCCTCCCATGTTGGAATCTGTGGAAATGAACGAGCAGATGTGCTGGCTGCTGAAGGAGACCACATACTTCATACCCAAGACTCTTCTACAAATTAGAGGCATTGTGAGGCAATATCACCGTGACAAGATAACTGAGGAAAGGAGGACAGAAGACCAAATCAGGGGATCTGTACGCTGGTACAACATGGTTGCACCTGACAATCCCAATCATTATGAACGAAGAGGAGGTGGCCACGGGAGAGAATCAGTAATAGCAAGAATTCATCTTGTATACAAATATCCATGGAGATTCGGAGTGGAAACAACAGTTGAGCAGAGGAGTAGCAGAATCTGCGCTGCCCAATAAACATGCCCTTCAGGGCAAAATTAAAAAAAAAATGGCAACTGCCCCAGGCGAGATGCCGGGCAGCCCATCGCCGTTGCCATAGAGTGACTTTGGGGACTCCATCGTACGCTGATCAATTGCTCTCTAATGATGGTGCCATCTCCTCAATGGTGCCCCCACGGCACACCAGAGGGCGGTGCAGATGTTGAAGGATACACGGTGCAAATGAATAAGTCAGCGCCGTCAGCAGTCGAGAAGGGCACGATCAAACAAACCCTATTCGGCTGCTGCCAAATATTTACGGCTAGATTTTCCCCTGGGAACCACAGTAGAGGGAAAAATGCAGTTGTTTTATGAAGCGTGTGAGGCACATTATGACAAGGTCATTAAGTTATCTAAAGATGAGAGTGACTATGTCTTCATTACAAACGACGGTGCTTTTGTAAATAAGTTGCTTAACAAAGAGAATGCTGCACGATGAAAAATGCAGTACCTAGGTCTCCAAAAGTAACCATTGTCATATTCAATGTCGATAAACACATTAAGCCTGTATATCTTTGTGATGAAAATGTTGTAAATCGTAAACGTCTGACAAATGGCGTCATAGCTGCCACATGGAAAGGTGACACACCTATACCGGACAGAATGTACTTTAGAGCAGCTTTAGGCCGGTACTATAACATTTACAACCCTCTCCTTCGTAGGTGCTATAAGTGTCAACACTGGGGAACGTCACGTGGCCAAGTATTGCCCAAGCAAAAACTATTTTTATGCCGTGTGTTG